TGGGTCTCTTCGCCCCAAGAACGCTACTTCTGCGGAGGTCAAAGGCGCTCAAAGGTCAAGTGGCGCTCGCTCTCGCCTCTCTCTCTTCTCTCTCTCCCCATTCTCTCTTCCTTTCTCCGCTGTCTCTCTCTCTCTCCCTATTTACTCTCTTCCCTCTCTCTCTCTCTCTCTCTTCTCTCCTCTCTCGCTCTCTCTCTCTCTCTCTCTCTCTCTCTCTCTCTCTCTCTCTCTTCTTTCTTTCTCTTCTCTCTCTTCTCTCTCTCCTCTCTCTCTCTCTCTCTCTTTCTTTCCTGTCCCCCTCCCTCCCCCTCCCCTCTCCCACCCCTTCCCCTCCCTCCCTCCCCCTACCCTCCCCAGTCCTCCCTCCCCTCTCTCACCTGGAAGTAGATCAGGAAGCAGTCCAGCTTCTTGCGGCTCGAGCCGCGGTCAAAGTACTGACCGCACGTGTCCAGCACCGTGCACACGAGCCGCACGCGAAACAGATGCTCCGGCGGGTCGAGGTCGGAGGTCACCGCGTCGCCGTCCGCCGCGGTGGCGCCCCCGCCGAACGTGACGAGCGAGTAGAGCATCTTGAAGACGACCGCGCTCTCGACGAGGCGGTAGTTGTAGAGTTCGCCGAGGAATTTTGCGCCGCTCACGCGACGCTGGTTCATGCGCGGGTGGTTCACCTCCATGCCCAGCCGCATGTCCTCTAGCACGGCGTCCACCACCTGAGGTCCCACGTGCTCCTAGAGGAGGGGGGAGAGGAGGAGAAGCTTAGTTAGAGAGGAGGAGGGGGAGGATAGTTAGCGAGGAGGAGGGGGGAGGAGGTTAGTTAGAGAGGAGCGGGAGGAGGTTAGTTAGAGAGGAGGGGGAGGAGGTTAGTTAGAGAGGAGCGGGAGGAGGTTAGTTAGAGAGGAGGAGGAGGTTAGTTAGAGAGGGGGGAGGGGTTAGTTATGAGGAGAGGGAGGAGGTTAGTTAGAGAGGAGGAGGGGAAGGTTAGTTAGAGAGGAGAGGGAGGAGGTTAGTTAGAGAGGAGGAGGGGAAGGTTATGTTAGAGAGGGGGAGGAGGTTAGTTAGAGAGGGGGGAGGAGGTTAGTTATAGAGGAGAGGGAGGAGGTTAGTTAGAGAGGAGGAGGGGGAGGTTAGTTAGCGAGGAGGAGAGGAGGAGGTTAGTTTATAGAAGAGGGAGGAGGTTAGTTATAGAGGAGAGGGAGGAGGTTAGTTAGAGAGGAGGGGGAGGTTAGTTAGCGAGGAGGGGAGGAAGTTAGTTAGAGACTGGGAGGCAGGTTGTTGTAGCGGAGGGGAGGAGGTTAGGGTGATAGACACACCTGCCATGTGAACGATAAACACACCTGAAAGGTTAACGAGAAAAACACACCTGACAGGTGAATGATAGACACACCTGACAGGTTAACGATAAACACACCTGACAGGTTAACGAGAAAAACACACCTGACAGGTGAATGATAGACACACCTGACAGGTCCCACGTGCTCCTAGAGGAGGGGGAGAAGGGGAGAAGCTTAGTTAGAGAGGAGGAGGGGAGGTTAGTTAGAGAGGAGGGGGAGGAGGTTAGTTAGAGAGGGGGGAGGAGGTTAGTTATAGAGGAGGGGGAGGAGGTTAGTTAGAGAGGAGGAGGGGGAGGAGGTTAGTTAGAGAGGAAAGGGGAGGAGTTAGTTAGAGAGGAGGGGGAGAAGCATAGTTAGAGAGGAGAGGGAGGTTATTTAGAGAGGGAAAGGGGAGGAGCGTTAGTTAGAGAGGAGGGGGAGAAGCATAGTTAGAGAGGAGGGGAGGTTAGTTAGCGAGGAGGAGGGGAGGAGGTTAGTTAGAGAGAAAGGGGAGGAGGTTAGTTAGAGAGGAGGGGAGAAGCTTAGTTAGAGAGGAGGAGGGGGAGGTTAGTTAGCGAGGAGGAGGGGAGGAGGTTAGTTAGAGAGCGGGGAGGAGGTTAGTTATAGAGGAGGGGGACAAGGTTAGTTAGAGAGGAGGAGGGGGAGGTTAGTTAGCGAGGAGGGGGAGGAAGTTAGTTAGAGACTGGGAGGAGGTTAGTTGTAGAGGAGGGGGAGGAGGTTAGGGTGATAGACACACCTGCCATGTGAACGATAAACACACCTGAAAGGTTAACGATAAAAACACACCTGACAGCTGAATGGATAGACACACCTGACATGTTAACGATAAACACACCTGGCAGGTTAACGAGAAAAACACACGCTGACAGGTTAACGATAAACACACCTGAAAGGTTAACGAGAAAAACAACCTGACAGTTTGAATGATAGACACACCTGACATGTTAACGATAAACACACCTGAAAAGGTTAACGAGAAAAACGCACCTGAGCAGGTTAACGATAAACACACCTGACAGGTTAACGAGAAAAACACACCTGACAGGTGAATGATAGACACACCTGCCATGTGACCGATAGACACACCTGGCAGGTTAACGAGAAAAACACAGCTGGCAGGCGAACGACCGACGTACCTGGTACGGCACGAGTCCGGCGAGCAGGTTGGCGACGCAGTGTATGTTGTTGTACTTGACGTTGCTGATGCACGACAGACCATCTTGGTCGTGTACGACGCCGCGTCACGGTCGTTCCACGGTAGCTTCCTCAGCTGCCGTAGTACCTGCAACGTGAAGCCAATAGGTGAGGTGGGGAGAGAGAAAGAGAGGGAGGGAGAGAGAGAGGGGAGGGAGAGAGGGAGGAAGAGAGAGAGGGAGGAAGAGAGAGAGGGAGGAGGGAGGGAGAGAGAGGAAGAGAGAGAGAGAGAGAGAGGGAGGAAGAGAGAGAGCATTTAACATAAGAGAGAGAGAGGGAGGAAGAGAGAGAGAGAGATAGCGTGGAGAGAAGGAGAGAGAGAGGGAGGAAGAGAGAGAGAGGGAGGAAGGGAGAGAGAGAGGAGGAAGAAGAGAGAGAGAGAGAGAGAGAGAGAGAGAGAGAAGAGAGGAGGGAGGAGAGAGAGAGGGAGGGAGAGAGGGAGAGAGAAAGAGAGGGAGAGAGAGGGAGAGATGGGGGGGGGGGACAATGGAACCGTAGCACCTGCTACGTGAAGGCCAAAAATCCATAGCTCCAGCAATGTGAACCCAAAGTTTAGTTACATACTGAATGTTCCCCACCATCCCTTTCCTCCTCGCCCTCGTACATACCTTCTCTATGGTGACCTTGGAGAGGTCCTTGGCAGATGAGGTGGCGTATGTACTCGTGCATGGGCGGTCTGCCTTCTCCCTCCCCCTCCCCCTCCGCTGCCTTCCTCCCCTCGTACCTACCTTCTCTATGGTGACCCTGGAGAGGTCCTTGTAGAATGAGGCGCGTATGTACTTGTGCATGGGCGGTCTGAACCTTCTCCCTCTCCCCTCCTCCTCCCTCCCTCCTTCCTCCTCCCCCTCGTACATACCTTCTCTATGGTGACCTTGGAGAGGTCCTTGCAGATGAGGTGGCGTATGTACTCGTGCATGGGCGGTCTGACCTTCTCCCTCCCCCTCCCCTCCCTCCTTCTCCCCCTCGTACCTACCTTCTCTATGGTGACCCTGGAGAGGTCCTTGTAGATGAGGCGGCGTATGTACTCGTGCATGGGTGGTCTGACCCTTCTCCCTCTCCCCTCCACCTCCCTCCTTCCTTCCTTCCTCCCTCCCTCCTTCCTTCCCTCCCCCTCCTTCTCTCCTCCCTCCCCCTCGTACATACCTTCTCTATGGTGACCTTGGAGAGGTCCTTGTAGATGAGGCGGCCGTATGTACTCGTGCATGGGCGGTCTGACCTTCTCCCTCTCCCCTCCCCCTCCTCCTTCCTTCCCTCCCTCCCCCTCCTTCCTCCCCCCCTCGTACCTACCTTTTCTATGGTGACCTTGTAGAGGTCCTTGTAGATGAGGCGGCGTATGCTACTCGTGCATAGGTGGTCGGACCTTCTCCCTCTTCCCTCCTCCTTCCTTCCTTCCCCGCTCCGCTCCTTCCTCCTCCCCCTCGTAACGCTACCTTCTCTATGGTGACCTTGGAGAGGTCCTTGTAGATGAGGCGGCGTATGTACTCGTGCATGGGCGGCCGGACCTTCTCCCTCTCCCCTTCCCCTCCCTCCTTCCTTCCTCCTCCCCTTCGTACATACCTTCTCTATGGTGACCTTGGAGAGGTCCTTGTAGATGAGGCGGCGTATGTACTCGTGCATGGGCGGTCTGACCTTCTCCCTCTCCCCTCCTCCCTCTCTCCCTCCTTCCTCCTTCCCCTCGTACATACCTTCTCTATGGTGACCTTGGAGAGGTCCTTGTAGATGAGGCGGCGTATGTACTCGTGCATGGGTGGCCGAACCTTCTCCTGCGATCGCTGCACCTCGGGCGGGTTGCAGTAGTAGAAGGCGTTCTCGATCATAGTCACGTGCCGGCTGTCCATGTGCATGACGCTCTTCTTACGCATCATCTGCTCCTGTAGCAAGAGAGAGAGAGAGAGGTGAGAGAGGGCGGGAGAGGGGAGAGAGACAGAGAGAGAGAGAGAGAGAGAGAGAGAGAGAGAGAGAGAGGAGGAGGAGGAGGAGGAGAGAGAGAGAGAGAGAGAGAGGAGGAGGAGGAGAG